CCCTGCGGCACTCGCCGCCCTGCGTGCATGCCTTTGCTCCCCACCTCGGCCCCCGCGCCCCACCCCGCACCGCGCAGGTGGATCCGGGGAAAGCTGACAAGGAAGGAAACCCACACACACACGCACAAGCAGCAATGACGGGCTCGGCGCGCACGCTGTTGCTCGTGGCCGTTCTGGTCGCCGTGCTGTGCTTCGTCCCCGCGGCGAGGGCGAGCCTGCAGGCGAGGGAGACGCTGGCGTCGCAGTTCGCGGCGTTCAAGCAGCGTCACGGCAAGGTGTACGGGAGCGCCGCTGAGGAGGCGTTCCGCCTGGGCGTGTTCAAGGAGAACCTGTTCCTTGCAAGGCTGCACGCCGCGGCAAACCCACACGCGACCTTCGGCGTCACGCCCTTCTCGGACCTCACGCGCGAGGAGTTCCGGTCACGCTACCACAACGCCGCGGCGCACTTCGCTGCGGCGCGGGGGCGCGCGAGGGTGCCGGTGGAGGTGGCGGTTGGCGGCGCGCCCGCGGCGGTGGATTGGCGTGCGCAGGGCGCCGTGACGGCAGTGAAGGACCAGGGCCAGTGCGGCTCGTGCTGGGCCTTCTCCACCATCGGCAACGTCGAGGGCCAGTGGCGCCTCGCCGGCAACCCGCTGACGAGCCTGTCGGAGCAGATGCTCGTGTCGTGCGACGGCACGGACAGCGGGTGCGATGGTGGCCTGATGGACAACGCCTTCGACTGGATCGTGCAGCGGAACAACGGCGTTGTGTACACGGAGGAGAGCTACCCCTACGTGTCGGGCGGTGGCCAGGCGCCGTTGTGCAGGATGTCCGACCGCACGGCGGGCGCCGTCATCACCGGCCACGTTGACTTGCCGCAGGACGAGGACAAAATGGCCGCCTGGCTTGCTGCCCACGGCCCGCTCGCCATTGCCGTCGACGCCACCAGCTTCATGTCCTACACGGGCGGTATCGTGACGAACTGCCTCGCCGACCAGCTGAACCACGGCGTCGTGCTCGTCGGCTACAACGACAGCAGCGACCCGCCGTACTGGATCGTGAAGAACTCGTGGGGCGCGGACTGGGGCGAGGAGGGCTACATCCGCCTGCAAAAGGGCACGAACCAGTGCCTCGTGAAGGAGTACCCCTGCTCGGC